AAAAGTGTTTTTTTCCGTAAACACACCGACTGAAACAAAGTCAGTGCAAATTGGCAGTCAAGCACCACGCTGCCGTGGTCTATGCTGAAGCAAACCTCTCTGTCCGGCAGGCTAGTTCGAATAATTCAGAAGCGGGACTTTCAGTCCAAGCCGCACTTTTCATGGGAATGGGATATGTTAAACGACAAGTGCTATAGCAATTATCCACTTGTTATTCCTAGCCAATAATAAATTATTTTTACTAAGCATATGGCTGCTAATGTAAACTAGAGTCCAAACCTACAAGAGCTATTATACAGAATGGTGGTCCTAACACAGCACTAACATTTATGAAACGGTAAGTGAAATTCTCCATTAAACTTTTTAATGGATAACGAATACCCACGTGGTGATGGAAAAATTTGACCAAACCAAACCGGTTTTCTATACGCAGCGGTGATCCGTGCTGAAGCAAACCTCTCCGTGCGGCAGGCTGAATTAGCTAGTATATTTGGTCTTTTGTATGGGCATTTTTACTGCTAGTTCAAATAATTCAGAAGCCAAACTTTCAGTCAAAGCCGACCTTTTCATAGGAATAGTCTATGTTTAGCGACAAGTGCTATAGTGATCCTCCAGTCGTTATTCCAAGCAAAAATAAACTATTTTTACTAAGCACATAGCCGCTAATTTAAACTTGCGTCCAAACCTGGCGCCCCCAGTAATCAGCAACCTAGAAGAGCTATGATACAGAATGGTGGTCCTAACACAGCACCAACATCTGTGAAAGGTTAAGTGAGATCCACCGATATTCTTTCTAATGAGGGACGAATATCTACGTGGTGATGGTAAAATGTATGCAAACTAAACAACTGTCAAAATCACGTAGCATTGCTTGTTTGACGTAGGCGTCTCAGCGTTGTCGTTGGCATGAAAAGGATCCACATTTCTAGTGTTGTTTGACCGCTTGATGAATGCATTGGATTTTAGCAAGGAATGCCCACCTGTTGAACGGTCTGTGGAGCAGTCCGCCGGAGATTTTGGTCGGCGTGGACAAAGCGAGGAAAGCCCAGGACAGCAAATGTGCTAAATCAACTTACGAGGACGTGCTGGGCGCGATGGAAATCAAGCAGAAGCAGCAGTTTTATTCCACTGACATGCTTCAATGACGTGACTGCATTCTTTGCCTTCACACCACCTTTTGGAGTTTCTAATGAGCTGTGAAAAGTTTGTACAAAATTTCGCCTTACATCTTGCAGTCTCATTAGAGAGAGAGAGAGAGTTGTCGTGTCTGCTTCCAGCCTGCTGCGGAGCGCGCGTTGGGTATCCTCAGTCACAAAGGTCGATCTGTAAGGAAAGTATCCCCTATGGCCAAAATACGTTGCAAATACGCTCCTAGACATTTGACCTACTACCATGAGATTCTCTGTTTGGTTCTACACTACCCAGTAATAGTTCAAATACAGTACGTGACCTATCTCATGAAATGTTGGCTGAAATTCTGAAATGCGTTTTCGACTAGGAAGGATTACTTGGTCGCGGTTGTGAAACTGATTATCTTAAGACATACTCTTATAACATTTCGGACTCGGCAAGATGTCGGCTTTTAAATGCACTTCTTTTCAAGCTCCTGTAGAAAGCGTGCTCAGTAAAAATGACTACTCGAGTAGCATTCATTTTTCCCATTGATTTTCGATGGTCTTGGAAATTCAAATATATTTTATAGAAACCACAAACAAAAATATGCTTTCTTTTAGTCAATCAATAGAGAATCACGTCTTCTTTATGTTTTATACTTAGAGAAGGAGTATAATTAGGTTTTAAAAAAGTTTCTAATTATGAGACTTTTTAAGACCGCGATATGTCCATTCACATAGCATCGTACCTGGCCGTTTACCACTGCTCCTCATGAAATATACAACATGGTCCGCATCCATTGCACAATTTTATGGAGCCTGTTTAATATCTCCTTAATGACATAGAAGAATATGTGATGTTCTTAACGCGGAACGCATGCGCCTTGTAGAGTGTAATCACTAAGCGCTAATGGAACGAATGATCAGGCTCCGAATTATTCGGCAATTAGAAAACTTTTTTAAAACCTAATTATACTCCTTCTCTAAGCATAAAACATAAAGAAGACGTGATTCTCTATTGATTGACTAAAAGAAAGCATATTTTTGTTTGTGGTTTCTATAAAATATATTTGAATTTCGAAGACCATCGAAAATCAATGGGAAAAATGCATGCTACTTAAGCAGCCATATTTTACTGAGCACGCTTTCTACAGGAGATTGAAAAGAAGTGCATATTAAAGCCGACATCCTGCCCAGTCTAAAATGTTATAAGACTATGGCTTAAAATAATGACTATCACAACCGCGACCAAGTTATCCTTCCTAATCGAAAACGTATTTCAGAATTTCAGCCAACATTTCATGAGATAGGTGACGCACTCTAGTTGCGAGTTAGTTTGGATGCCAGCTTACATGTAGTCTTGATCTAATGCTTCACACAACACTTGCAATACGAGCATGCCACATTTTCAACCAACTAATGTGCTTGTGTAATGAGTGGTGTTTAGAAGAATTGTAAGTCCTGGTGCATTTTATCCCAGCAATTGGGAGAATGTTGCATTGGCAGTGTTGCAGAGCGAAGACTTTCTTTGCTAATCGATCCTTATTTATTCTGCCATCGTGGTCCAGGTCGATCTAAAGCCATGCTGTCTCGAGAGTTCAGGATGAGATAAGTGAGGCTAACACTAAGTTACACTGTCGTGCAAGCCACCTGCGCCCTCTCCCACCTCCAGTCTTCTTGACTCAGTCATGACATCAGGCCCAGGTTCGAGGGAGAGAGAAGCGAGTGCGCATGATGCTGCGTAGGTCCACTGTCACTATAGAGGAAATCACGCGGTCACCGCGCCTGACCTCAGCCTGCAGGGGAGCGCGTGTTCCGTGACGACAGTTGACATGTGAACTACCATCATAGGATCCTCCATTTGGTGTAAAACTACCCGGTAAATGCCCAAATATCTGCGAGTTGGCTTGAAAGTCCGCTTACGTGTAGCCTTACCCTATCGTTTCACATAACCCTTTCACTGCAAGGATGCATATTTGCCTAACGCCAAGACTTGCATAGCACCCTTAGTGGCAAGTAGGGTTATTTAGCCGTCAGAATGGCATGCAATCTGGCAGCTCATTTGAGTCAATAGCATGTGAACCGGGCTGACGTACCCCTGCCGTAGTTAGCGTGCCGATGCTTTGGGTCAATTTTTGAGTCCCATTTTCCCTTTTAGGATATATGCAACCGATTTGCCCCCGAACATAGCGAACGAGTGTGTCGAATGACATCGAATGCGTAAGCTGGCTGATGAAATGGTTAAGCACCGGCTTGAACCCTCGTCTGCGAATATTGACAATTCTCATGCGAAGTTCCTTTCTACTTCATAAAAGCCTTTCTGCCACTTCCAGGGCAATTGTGGCCCGTTTTTCTCCGCTGATGATGGATATAACGCAGTCTGTATTATTGAAATTATTTCCCAGGTAATTCACTGAGGGTGCTAGGGTTGTCGGGCTGTGTAGTTGCATTATGGCAGTTTGCCAAGCCTTAATTTTTGAGTCTGTTTTCGTTGCTGGTGATTGAATGGTCCCGACGGTGTGTCTCTGTGTGGGTGAGTGATGTGAGTCTAACGGCGTTAACAACACAGTGCAAGTGAACAGCGTAAGGGTCCTAGGAACCCACCACTATCAGTGCCACGGGGGATCTCAATCATGTGGCAACTGACTCGCGACTGTAGCACAACCTTGAGTTCGATTTTATTTATCGCACTTTATGAAGAAGTACCGTTAGCCTCCAGTTCCTTTACTTTTCATTTACCATTCATTTACCCGATAACTCAGCGACAGATTGTGGCGTCAGATCGGTGTGTGATATCCATGTTCAAGCAAAGCAGAACCCACTGTGAATTCTGACATATTTTTGATATCGGATACTGTGTACCACAATTGTTGGGTTCCTGATTTTACTCGTAGGCATTGGTTGACGACATTTTCAGTGTGACTGTTATTGGTAAACCAGACCCCGATCTATCGAATGTCTTTGCATTTCGCCCGTAGAATACCACAATGCAAAGCCACTTGCGTGTACTGAGTCGTCTTACGACCTCGTTTGCGTGTTATTTGTTGAACGCTGATGTACTTGGGTACATTCGTTGTGTTCGTAGTTTTTCTGAGCACGGTTCTTTGTGGGCTGGCGACGATTGGCCATGTCGCAGGGGCATATCCAGAGAAGTAGTTTGTCGAAAGATGCTCATTCAGGACAACAAGCTTCTTATTCGTACTAAAGCAGTGCACGAGAAAATAATAGACCAACTTTAAGGGCTCTTCAGCTGGAACATAAAACCGGTGATCGCACGAGATCACCCTCCATTCACCCAACTGCGGATAAATTTTTTGTCTCAAATCGAGGGTTGGATACTAAAATAGGTACCCACCCCCCCCCCGCATCGCGGGAGACCCTGCACTAGATTTCAGAGGATGCCCATTTCCATGTTCCAACCCCAACCTTTCGTAGCCCTACACTAATCTAACCCTGACTGTAGCACTGACCCTAGTCCTATCCCAAACCCCAATTTTAACTCTAACCCATCTTGAAATTCAGTTCAGAGCCACCTGTAATACGGTGGACGCACCTAGGCTCCTGTCCTACCTACCCGATCACCGAAATAAGCCCTATTAACTAATCTCGATGAGTGAGTTGGCGGAGGGGATAGGCCAAGAATGGGAGGGAGTGTGCCAGATGATGGGATGGGTCAATGTCCTCGAACGACCTTCACAGTCAGGCCTGGAACCCGTCCGCACACAAACCTAATGACCAGAACTTCAGGTTGTCTTGTCAGAGTTAAATCCGGTTTCATTTGGGCAACACCCCCGTGCCATTTCTGTTGCCTTTGCAATCATCTACTACCTCAGAAAAAAAAAAAGAATAAATTTCTTTATTTGGCGGTCCGCGAAGGTCGTAACCATGTTAAATCTCATCTTCGACTTTCACGTAAGTTCCACTGATTCCCATTACCTCCGCAGATAGGTCTTTATAGGCACGCATCAGATTCTTTGAAGTGGAAGGCCTTTTTGATTCGTCCACGGATATGCCAAAGTCCAGACAGTGCTTCGGCATTGCGGAGAATTCCTTGACATTTTTTTCTAAAAGGATGAAAGAACATCCAGCGTTAGTCCAAATCGGCGCGGATGACTAGGCAACGCTCACGATCTCATCCTGTTTGGGTAACTGGCGAAGGTTGTTATGCTGGACGTGTATAACGTTGTAATTGCCAGGGTCGTATGGCCAATTAACCTTTCATTAGCTTGGTGTTTTCTTACTTACTTGCGTGTAATGCGCTCTTGGCACTCAGATATTTCATAGTCTTCTTCATTTTGTAAGATATGGACGTGCGGCCCGGTGAATGATTTGGGCACATAACAAAATGCCTTGCCTCATACGTGGTCATTTATACTCCACGATTTTCAGCTGAAACTCAAAGTGGGTTAAAGCTACTGGAATGTCTCTTTTTCACCTTATACAACAAGATTTAAGATTTCTATAGGTAAAGGTTTAGCCTAAATATGCTAAATAGGTGAATTGTGACCTTCTTAGTAACCCACTAGCTTTTTCGGCAGTCGGCAAGGTAAAATGGCATTCAAAGTGTAATTACACCTGTCTCAGATCGTTACGTATTTCAGTAATTGTCAGGGCGTCTGAACAAGATCTCCACGTTCCTGACAATGTTGGGCAGAATTTACCGTTACCATCGCCGAAAACTCTCAGTGGTATGGTTGTGTAGCTGGGCAGCTCTCTACTGGCTCCGTTTTAGGCTGATTGCTTGGATGTAGCACGTGTTTGACGCCCCGACTTTTCGAAGTCTGCTGCCTTTTACAAGAGCTGGGCGTTTGAGGCAAACTACCCGTAGCATGTTTTGCTTCTTACCTGGTAATCTTCACTGCTTGCATATCTACTTATGCAGAGCATGCAGTTCTCAGCCAAAATGGCGCTCTCCGATTTTCTGCTTTCGCCTTATCCAACAAATTTTAGGCTCTCCACGAATAAATTGTATTGTTACACATCTTTGAGGAAGATCCGTTGTGACATTTTAATTAACTGACTTGAATTAACTGTAGTCGGTGAAATAATGTGGAATTCGAAATTTAATTGGAGTTACCTCAGATCTCCAGTTATCCCCAGCGCTTTTGCGTAAAATTAGCGGTTATTGTCTCACAAACCATTGTTAATCAGATAGTTAAGTTGTGTGTAAATAAGTAGCTTGACCAGTGCAGTTTCATCCATCATTTACGACTAATACTGCTTGAGTGGAATTTCAAAGGTAGTAGGACGCTACTCAAAATCATGAATCTTTCAAAAAAATGCTTACCACAAATTTCGTCAAACGAACAGTTCTTTCCTTTGTACTCTGAAGGCATCAGTTCTTCTAGACCAGGTACGCTGTCATAAAGTTGCTTCAAATCTTTCTGTGGAAATAATATCTGTGGGTAGGAAAAAAGGCTCCACTTTGCTAAAATTTTCTCTACACGGCAATGTTGAGAACGGCAATGTTGAATTCTTTGCGAGAATTCACAGTGGCGAGAGTATACTTCTTGAACGATAATGCAAAAACTACGTGTCAGATCATCAACCGGAAACGGAGGTGGCGAAATCTTTCCTAGCATAAAATGTATGCTAAATGGTGGTTTGTTTATTTGGATTGGTCACTAAATTTGTTTAATTAATGCGAGGAAGTATTAAAATTACCAGTATCAATCGTAGGGTCCTGAATTTTTTCACCATACTCTTATTAAACCTGTGATTCATCTGTTTTTCCATTTTTTATCGTTGGGTAAACAAACCCAGAGATGAGTATGAAAATTTTCTTAGAGAGCGGTTGGGACTGATCTCCAAAATGAATGAGCACTCCATGAAAAGCCTATGTTCAACAGTGACTGGCCTGCAAATAGCGTCCTGAAGCAAAATAACCGCTCTCGTCCCTTTTGCAATAAACCGTTGAAGATCACACTCATTTAGATGTAACGGCATCATTTCTGCCTCAATTAACGACTGAAAAAAAGCATTGTAGCCATACAGTGACAGTGGTAGCAGGCTTTGTCCTAATCATGGACAACTTTAACAGGTTATTTTTAGATTTAAACTCAGACAGGTTTTATCATGTCCGCCTATGTGACATAACGTCATTAGGCACGCCTTCGGATCCAAAGTGCATTCGAAATATGCGGTGTTGTAGTTTAGTGATCTTTCGTATCCGAAATGTTTTGGGTAGAACTCTGAAAAAATAAAACACTGCAAGGTTTTAGCACATGTGTCCAGCCTTAGAGGTTTAATTACTTATTCGTGACTATAACAGTCAGCTTTATCAACCCTGTTTTCCCTCTACCAACTCCAAACTGAGTATTCCCTGATGATATTAAATAGTACAAGAGTTTGAATATCAACCGTTTGCAGGTATCAACTTCTACAACTTGTGACCACAGTTGCTTATTGTATCGCCAAAACGCCCCACATTTACCTCTCCTAAAGGGCTAGCATTTGACGCACGCGGTTATTTGAAAAGTACCTCTGAGGAATACGTAGCCGCGATCACTCCTCAAAAATAGTATCCCCTGTGACCCCCCCCCCCCACCTTGCCTTTATTGTTCTGATAGAAAACGCATAACATAATGAAATGCTTCTTACCTTTGATTTTATCTTCTCACTGAGCCACGTTGATGCTGCCTTGAAAAAGACTTCAAAGAATTTTGGCATATTCAGGAAGACCAGCTTTTTTATGCGAAAGGGCAAAGCTTCCTAAAAAATCATATGGGTTAGTGTGATGTGGTACTTCGTCAAATCCACCATACTGCACATACTTCATAAAGTTCTTACTAACATTAGTAATTTCAGAGTTCACGTTGCCTTCAAACCTTTCATCAACGCAGATTTTTTAATTAAGTCAGCTACGTAGGACACAGTGATGGGAGTAAATAACACTTTATCTACACTGTGGACTGAAGTCGATTTGCTGAACTTACAAGAGAGAGAACAACAAATTGCTGAAAATGATCTGTCAAGCCTAAATCAGTTTAATTCCTCAGTCTTGCGTGTCTTTGTTAGTTCTATCCTGTTAGTCGAAAGAATGCACAATTCGAAAAATAATGCAAGATTACTTGGTTGCTCAAAACAGAATGTCAGGATAAACATTGTCACTATGGGCCTCCGATAGTACATATTATCATCGTTTACTAGAAAACAGTCTACAACAATGCAGCTGCGATTTAAAAGCAGTATTGTCCACTGCTGGTTAGGGCAACAAAAAGTGTTTTTTGTCCGTGAACACACTGACTGAGACGAAATCAGTGCAAATTTGCGGTCAAGCATCACGCTGCCATGCGACTGAAATGCTGACATTTGAAAGTGGTTTGTGCTTGAGCAAAAGTCTTCGTCAAGCAGGCTAAATTAGTTGATATGTTTGAATTTTTGCGTGAGCATTCCTTTCATAAATGGCGATTAATTAAGGGCAAGACTTTTAGTCGAACCTGCCTTTTACCTAGGAAGAGCCCGTGTACCTGTGCCTGGTAACCCTAGCAATCAGCATTCCATAGGGGTCAAGGTACAAAGTGATAATATAAATACAGTTAGCACTAAAATTTATGAAATTTTACATGACATTTACTAATAAGCTTTCTAGCGGAAGAAAGCCATCTGCGTGAATGGACAAAATTTATCAACATGGAATGCAAACTAAAGCGTTTCTTACACGGCAAAATTTTGACCTTAAATATAAAAAACTTTCTGTTTCTTTCTTATAATTCCGTTTAAAATATTCAACAACTAGGCGTTACACAACACTGAATGGATTTTGTTTCTGTCTGAATACGACCCTATTACTTTCAAATTACGCACGGAGTAGTCTTCTCTTACACTCATTTTGTAGGAAGTTTTCATTTCATCAAATATGGTTCCGATGGAAAAAAAAACGATCGACTTAAGAAAATAGTGACAACCACATGTTTCGAAACATAACCCCGCAAATTCACCTGACTCTATTAGGCGATTTCTCAATGTTTGGGAAATACAGAAATAGAAATGGATCCAGTTGTTCCTTTCGTAAAGAACAATCATAGTTGAGGGGATCGTGGGCCACACGAATCAGTTATTCAAAATCTAACCGAAAAGACGCTTAACTAAACTCCGGTGCCCTAGAGTGTATTAAGTAACTGAGGTTAAGGTTTTCTTTCACTCGCCTTTACAGCTTAATTTAGGCAATAATTTTCCATTTAGAAGCCAGCCCAAAACAGCAAATTGAGTTTCCTGGATTCCGTTTCAAAGCATAACTCATTTTCGCTCCAGAACCTGTTGCGAAAACAATTTGTGACTCATATCCCCTAAATTAATATCCGGCTACATTTGGATAATTAGGATCAATTAATAAAATTTGAAAACCTTGAGATAACAGACCACAGTTCGCTTGTTATATCATATCGTCCCATTTCTCAGTAAATTCAAGGACAAAATTATGCGTGGATTATAACAAGTCGATTAAGTCCAGGGAATGGACAGTGTGTAAATCTACAACTCTTCTAAGGCGGTAGACAGCATGACATTTGAAATCGACAGCACAGATCAATTCAGATGATACCGATGTTGTGCCCAAACCTCAAGTCAAGGTTATTTCTAATTCGGAAAAAATAAGTCTATCTGTGCCATAATTTACTTACTTGAGGTAGAAAGGATTTGTTTGTTTGGCCGCTTTTCATTCCAGTAAGGTGCCTGCGCTGGACGGTTATGATTGTGGACGCTTCAAAAACACCGAATTTACCAGAATCGTCGTCTCCTCGTTTTGTTTCTCTCGTTTACGCAGTAGTGTCCAATACTAGTGTCTGAGTTCACTTGAAAGCATTCTTAATTAATTTAATAGCGCTCTGACCAGTATAACTCAGGAACGCCAGCAAGTGTATCAACTTTTTCACGGTGATGAAAGCGGTAAATTAAAGCCGCCCACTTCCTCAGAAGACGGTGGATGACAATGAAACGCTTATGTTTGCATGTTGCCTTCGTTTTCTAAGCATGACATCCAGTTCTGTAGGGAATTACATCGGGCTGATGCCAGCTGTGTCGAAGCATACCTCTTGTTTGGTAGGTTCGAGTCAACTAAGTCATCGGCTTATTGGGGTGGCCGTTTATTTGGGGTTGAAGATGGGGAATGGAGATAGATCATTTATGCGCAATGAATTTTCATCGGTTGATAGATTTGCCACTCCGTTTGGCTTTACGGCGTTGTGGAATATCGAAGGCAGACGTTAGATAGACGAGTCTGAGAACATAGACTGCAGTTTGGATAAAAAGATTGACTGTTGGCTGCAACTTCGATCAAGTCTGGTGGTGTCCATAGGCCATTCTCACAGCATAATCATCCTAGTCTGCCAACAACGATAATTTATGAGCATAGAATATGTGCGTTTGTGCGAGCGCCGTGGCCTGTAAAGCAGGAGTGGATTTACGAGTTTAAATTCGTGGGTTCAATTTACTCCAGTCTGTGTAGATAACATCCATTAAGCATTGTTTGTATTAGAAATTCAGTAGGCGATTCCCGCGTGTTGTCAGTCATTTCGTCGTTTAATCACTTAGAAGTAAATCCATCATTAAGGTTAGTGTGTGAGTCGAGGATCTGTCAATCTTCATAAGCCCCCTTTAAATGATAACCGCCAGCCTATTTTCAAGGACGTATGTACCCTAACGCCTTTCGACTCATTAGTAGGAACGGAAGCAACCTTCTGGAGATGCAAAATAAACTAAGAAAGGGTGTTGTAAACTTTTGCACTGCTAAAAAGGTTCTCGTAGGTCGTGAAGATGGTCGACTTTACATAAGGGAAAAATCATTAAAAGTAAATTAATGTACTAAGTCTACATTTGCTGGAAAGCCGATTGCACCATTATCTTGCATCAAATACTTTTGACGTTAATGATACCTTCAAGAAGACATGACACGATGAATGGTGTTGTACTATGAGGGGAGGGGAGACAGTGAATGTGTGTTTCTTGACAGACGAAATACCATGCACGAGAAACACAGCCACACTTGCTGTGGTGGAAATAGTGACAATTTGAGTAACTTCACCAAGCAAAGGAACAGTTTATTGGGCTGCGGATAGCCGAAGACAAATGATTTTGATTTCCAATATTTTCTCGAACGATGGAGGTTGGATTGCTTCATTCAAAAAATGATATTGAGACGTTCACGAAATACTTTATTTTCCAAAATCCAGAGACACAGGCGAGAGCGAAACAAATTTGTTTGAACTGCTAGCACCAGAATAGTGAAACATTACTTAAGTGTGCCAGATCCTAGGTTCTGTTTCTGAAATATTTTAGTTCACCATCGTTGCAACAAATATTGCCTGCCCATCTATAATGATAATATTGACTGCAGCCCGTTTACGCGTCCGTGGTGGGAAATATGACTGGTCTAGAGGCACTTAAGCTTAAATCTGAAGAGCAGTCGGATCCTTCTCAGGTGAATAAAGTACTGTTGCCAGTAATCGCCTCCTTAATTCTGACAAATCGAGTCCCATGAGTATGTATTTTCTGAGCAATTCAGGACTAAGAATTGTGTCTTTACCAGGTCAAGTAACCAACCTGACCGTTCATGATGAGAAATTACTTACCTGCAAATATACTGTGCTCAATTTGGCGGTACGTGGATCGAAAAATTTCATAAATTCTTTTTTGCTAATTCCGTCAAGGTCAAGGATGATTACACCGCCTCCTATTTGAATACGTCCGTCGCAGATAAATGTGTCACCCCATGCATGCCAGGCTCTGTACAGCTCCTGTGGATTACTAGCGTACTGAGGCCACTTCGCTAAACAAACCCTGATCAGTCTCAAAGAGCAAACTTACCTGCTTTCATCAGAATACAGGCCACGCCTTCTTGAGTGAAGCCGAGCACAGAGATCAGCCTGAAATTTTCAATAGAGTAGAAATATCGCTGCTTAATTGAAATATTTTGTGTCGAAAACAAGCACACATGGTAATGACCTGAGTCCGTCTTATTTCAAAACACTTCATCATACACAGTACTTTGACATTAATGCTCTCCCTTTAAAATAAAATAAGACCCTTTTAGGTACCTTTTGGATTGTTAGATGTGAAACCCCTTCAAATCGCAATGGCCTACGAGGTGAAACATGTGTGGCTTTCGTACAGGCGTCGTCGCGAGTACCAAATCAAGAGGCTAAACTGACTATAGAATCTCCACACAATTTTCGCTTCTCGAACCAATTTCAACTCACTTTCTGTCAGACAATTCCATAAGGAGTTTTAATCTGTCCTCTTCGTAGTTGAACCACGATGGAGCACCAGCAGATTCAGATGTTCGAAAAGTGCAGAAATTGTCCAGGCGTTTTTGTGCTTTCGAGTGATTGAACTTCGCATGTCGCAGAAAGGCCAAGAGGAAAATGTCGTCTGCCGAAAGAGGCATTTACAGAAGAAAACAAATTATGCGCGGTTAAAACAGGAAAATTCTGCTTTCTCAGGCGGACTCCAAACGTTGGTAGCGCCGAAGGGTTTTAGCACTTACTAAGACAAATAAGGCTAAAGAGGATGCGAAATGCTAGTAGATATTTCATTCTGCCTATATATCATGCGCCGTTGCGCGGCTGCTCTTTGGGCTCGAGAGAAAGCCCTTAAGGCACAACGGGACGAGTGAGTTCCGTATGAACGATCGGTGAGCGCCCCCTAACATTGTATGTTCCCGATCAAAAACCGACAGGGCAACGGGCTCGTGGCCCGGTGAGTAGAGGCGTTGACTTCTAATTCAACAGGTTTCGAGTTCGAGGCTCGGGTGTTCCACACTTCGGGCTTGGGTATGGCTGGCTGACGACGGCTAATAAGCCAGAAATGGCCATTCCAGTCCCCCTTGTCTTTGTCGGTAATATCATTCAGTAGATATTTCATTCCTGCAGCGGGATTTTTTCATGTGCTTCAAGGAAGGGACGTTTTTTTATTGCATTTATTTAGACAAGACTCTTTGAAAGCACACTTAGAGCTCAGCTGCTCTGTAGGCAGTTGAATAGGATGCAGAAAAAGTAACTACTTTTGAATGAAATTTTCTTCGGCCGCCTGTAAACAAAACCCTCGACAAAAAGCGACCACTTACGAAGCATGGATTTTCTATATTTATTTTAGATGTTCTTATAAGGTTAAGTATATTTTATAAAATACAGGCACTTAAATATTATTCCTCGTGTCCAACTGGCAGAAAAGTATGTATTCTTTAGATTTTATACTTGGAGAAAGGATATGCTTCGGCCTCCAAAACTTCTTTCAATTTGCGAATAATTTTTAAATCGAACTGATGTTACACTTGCATTCAGGGTCTGCAAACAACTATTTGAATGTTTTCCTTAAATAGAAACTCATATATATTTATGCGCTATTAAGAAGAGGTCTTATACCACTCGTGGAATTCTGCAATGGATGTGGACCATGTCGCAAAATCTATAAGCATCATTAATAAATGAGCAGCTACGATGGTTTATGGATGGACACTCGTGGTCTTAAATAATCTCGCAGTTATGAACGTTTTAAAATCCAGCAAGCACAATCTTCAATTATAAAATTTTGAGAAGACGCTATGCGCTACCAAATGAGTACAAAACAAATGTTTTGTATATGTCTTCTATGGAGCAAATTTAGGTTTATAGGGACATCAAAAGTAAATGGGAAAAACGCCTGCGAATGCACTGGTCATTTTTACAGGCAGATGGAAAGAAGCTCGATCAAAAGCCGGCATTCTAGTGTGACTGGGGTATCCGCACGACGATAAATATTACCGCCCGTACTCTTTTCTAATTGAAGACAACTTTCAGAATTTCGGTTAACATTTCACGAGATAGGTCAGATACTCCTGATTACTTTCATACGCAGTAACAAGTCGCCCTCATTCATTTACGTAATTTTTTTCCTACAAGTTTTTGAAATGCTTTCTAAAGCCCTAGTACCGTTGAAAATCCCAAAAGAATAAAATGCAATTTCCGTTGGTTTTTGCTTCCCAAAGTTACGGCGTGTGCACCTTACGTCATCACATAGCAGACGATGTTCAGCTAATACACTGTAAATAACAATCCCCCAGCTTTGGTTAACCCTGCATGAAACAATAATAGTTTAAAATGAGAACAATTAAAGAAGTCATCAGGACAACCTGTGCGACACTTGAGATGTGGCATGGAGGATAGCCATCGTCGGAAGCTCTCAAGATGCGCACTAACTTGACCCTGGACCTCGCCCAGCTCCTTCGATGCTCTTTTGACTAGAACTTTTGGCAGCGGTTCCTCCGGGTTGAACAGGGTAAAGGGATATTGGTTCAGCATGTTTTCGGGAGGACGCAGAAATTTCGAGTGACAGTTAGTCTTGCAGATTTGCGGGATTATTCATTGGCTGTGAAGTGACCCAATCACTTAGGTACTTAAGACTCACGTCACTTTAGATGAGTGTTTAGATGAGTTGAAAAAGCTTTCTTTATAGGTGAGTCGATAACAAACCTTTCAGATTTTTTACATTTACGAACAAGTTTATTCGCTTGTGCCTTCTGTATATGGCTTTGTGATGGAAGTCAAATTATTAGTTATTTTGAAAAAAGGAGAGGAAAGTGAACGCTCAAATTGTTAAACAGACAAGGCACAGCCTTTTACAATTGCCAGTTTATTCGCTGGTATCTTGTTGTGTATTCCCATTGTATGATAGTCATGTTATTAACTATTTTGAAAAAGTGAATGTGGTGACTTTTTGACCGAAAGAGACTTTCAGATAATCAAAAAATATTATATCAGCAGGAAATGCAGCCATGTCTCAGTAACCCGTCTATTATTTTCCGATACATTAAAACGGCGCTGGACACTTCCTTGCAATCACTGGAAACGAACACTTGCCACCGAGCCTACGGACCTCCGAAAAAACACTTCCAGAGGTGCCGACGGCGATAAAGCAAACTTGCAATGCAATTACTTACGGAGAAGTATGATGCTGCACACAAATTGCTGAAATTAAAGAAACTGATGGGAGAGTACGAGTTGAACTTCTGGAAATCTACACTAGGAACCTGGAGAAGGATATTTTGAAGGATATTTTCTTATTCTCGTGCTGATGTGCTCACAGCTGAACTCCGCAGCATTTGCAGTTCAGTTGAAAATTGCACTCCAAACTGTCTCGTTCCGTAATGCGTTTTAAAATGTAAGTACCATCCAGACCAGTTTCTTGACAGGTTATGCTGTAGTCGAAATATGATCAAGTTCTCTGGCCTTTCATGACAAGATGGATGAACTCCTCCTGAGGTACATGGATCACATGAAATGGCACATTAATTCAGATTTGCTCTTCTGACGGTAAAAGGCGACTTGCTGAGTACATTGACTAAGTGGTAAATAGTATATACGGGCACATGGCCTGAGCCGTGTGAAAACACCCGTGCCCCCGAGGGATCACGTGGATCGAAGCGCCATTCCCAGCGTGTCTGCAGTTGCTCGATCTCACACGCGCTCACCTTCTGATTGGGAGATCACCAATGTGACCGACACCGATCACAATGTAGCCTCCAAATGTTAGCCGTAAGCACTTAACATGGAAAAGGGCAAACCGACACAGCCAATGGAGTGTCCGCATTCTTCAGGATTATTTAAGCGATCATCCCGGTCTGATGGGGGCAGCGCATACTCGTTTACTTCATTTTAAATACAACGGAGCATTCAAACAGGGTCAAAACCCCTATTAACCCTCAGAAGTGCAGTGATTATGTTTGTATACAAGGTATCCTCTCAGTCAGCTAACGCTCACTACAAGATAATGTGGTATTCATTCTCAGAACCACTGGCCCAACAGCTGATACGTTGTGCTGGCGGCTAAAAAAGCCCAGATGGACCTTTGTGGAACCCCTACATACCTACACCAGTGACATTTGAAGGGCAGACAGAGATGCCAAGCGGTGGATGGCGTGTGCTGAACGAACGGACCGCAACTACTCAAGCCGGTCAAGCGTTCTCGGACATTCAGCGTTCGCGACCACGCCGTGGGCAGTGCGATTCGTGATGAGTTAACATTTCAATGAGGTTTAATTTATCAGCTCAGCTAAAAGTCGCTCGCAGGCAAAGACGGCAATTCACAGCGTTGCGTTCGAAATTTTCTACGATGAGGCTCCGTCGAGGACAGCTAGCTCTTGGGGAACGACCTGAAGTTCTGGCCATTATATTTGTAGGCGGACGGTTGCCAGGCCTGAAGATGGGGCGCAGACGAGGACGGCTACTCACGCCCATTATCGAGTGCATTGCCGCCTATTCCGGGTCTGTCCCCTCCACCATTTGCATGCCTACTCAACCATCGGGATTAAGTGATAACGCACATTTCGGTGATCGGGTTGGTAGGGCAGGGCTGTAGGCCCCCCAACGCATTACATACCGTTTGTTTACCGCTGCAGCCAATAAGCAGTCCCACACTTAGAAAGCAACCGTTGTGGGAGTAACTATGAATGGGACACGAGCTGACCCTATAATTATCTCCCATATATGAGCAGCAGAAAAGGTACTGTGGGAATGGGACCATCTGTAACCGATAAACGGCCGCAAGACAAACTTATTAACTTATATGAAGTCATCTAAACAATATAGGTATCAGCCATGTGGCAGAATATGGTGAGTGTCTATAAACGCCTCAGATATCCCAATTATAGTCAATAAAACTCGGTCTGTTAGCGTTGTGATTAGGGCGTTTTACTTTGGTCATACTAAAGGAAACTAAACTCCGTTGATGTCTCTGATCGGTGTCAGGGCGTGTCCAACTGCCGGTGAAAGCACCCTGAATCAGTGTTATAATATGACAGTTCGAGCGACGTTATCGACGATGTCCACTCTATGCTCCACAGCCAACCTAGAGAAGACACGGTGACTTGCGCGTGAATTAGTTTATAATGATACTGGACTTGCGCCGCATCCAACACACTCTCTCCTCACACACTGGGGGCCCGGTGTCAAGACAGAGTCAAGAGGACCGGAGGTCGAAGGGGTGGCGGGTTGCTGGCACGACGACAACCCCCATCTAGGCGTACCTGCTGCGGCTAGGCGGTCGAATTAGAAGGCATCGTTGAGGGCACATGACAGACTATTTTTGCAGTGTAGTAATTTTTTTGCAGGATCATTTGTGAACCACGGAAGAATTGACTCCGAAATGCCGCACCTACAGAAGGGGTTGGATGTGGGAATACGGACCCCTAGGGCAGGGCTGCAGGCGCCCCCAACTCATTACAGACGACCATGCGCGGGGAAGTTAGGGTTTTGGATAGGACAAGGATTGGATTTGGGGTCAGGATTATAGTTGGGTCGTCACTCGCGGACAGTAACGACAGTTCACACCATGGCTGCCATAACATGGCTTCCCGTCCAACTCCCCTTCCTGGCTGCAGTCTGGGTAGATTGTGCGGGAAAACATTTCTGTCTGTTGTCGCCCTCCGACTTTTGGTTTTCTACGAGGAGCGATCTAGTTGTGAGCAGCGACCCCAGTCCATCGTCTATCCTCGGCCGCTACAACTACCGGAAACGGCGGGGACACTAGCATAGATGGTGGTGGAGCAACTTCAAGGAGGATACACATAATGGCCCTCAAGCATCATCAGAGTGAGAGCTGATTAATGTCTAAGTGCGAATTGCGTCAGTCACATTGGCGACGCCAAACTAATATGAAATGGGAGGTTTTGTGAATTTTTAAGAAAAAATGTATGAAATTTTTGCAGTCGGATAGTATTATTGGAAAAATAATTTGCAGGGCAGATCTCGGAGGCGACCGTAAAAACAGACAGCCGCAAGCAGTGTGAATGTTCTCGGTTTCTGCATTTTGTCTTTGTCTGTGGGTGGTTCCGCATGCTGTCATCAGGGCGGGCACAGAGACAGCCAGGGCGCGTGCGCGGATAAAGTCATCGAAAATATGAACGACAACTTTGGGTTTTCCGACCCGATTTGCAGGATCGTCCTGAACGCTCCGCAAGTTGCCAACAAGACAGC